CGGACTAGATGATCTGCTCAGGTCCCTTCCGACCCTAGAAACTATGAAACTATCTAAATGTAGGTGATGGACTACAATGCTCACATGAAGCTTCTGTAAAGTCAGACTCTGCATGGCACAAAAATCTGCCTGAATTATTCTGTGCAAGTAAGAATGGTTCCTTCCAGGTCTTACATGGGTCCTGAGGTCTGAAAACCTCTAAAATATAATGTTGCTATACATGATATATTCTACCCAAAAATTATGTTAAAAGAATATATTAAAAGTCAAGCACTCAAAAGCAGGAAAATGACAGAATCAGGGTTGCCTGTGCTCAAGCATTATCATCCAATCTTTAATTACATGATCATTTATTGTTGTTCCACAGACTCCTTCCTCAGAACAGGAAATTTTTTCTTAATGAACAACTATCCAATATTTTGTTTTCTTTCTCCTTGTTGTGTAATGTGTGGCCCTAGACTCTATTTACTGCACACTATATAAACCCTAAAAGTTTGAAGACAGGATTATTAATTTCTTCATTGTCCTTTCTGTTGTGCTTATAACTATAGTAGCTAAGTGCTTCCCATACATTAATGAATGTACTTTCACTACATCCCTGCAAGTAAAGGAAGGGATTATGATCTCCATGTTAACTAAGAGAAACACAGATCAAGGTCAAAAGTATCCTCTAATTTTAAATAATCAATCTGCAATGTCTTGGACCTAATATTTCCAGCTACTTAACATTGCATATCACTTTATGTGTTAAAAAGGCAGCTCTTGTTGACTTCAATTGCAGCTATGAGAGCTGAAGCCTTCTACAAATCAGACCCCAGGGCCTCAATAGTAAATGAGGTACACAAAAGGCCAGACAAAAGTGACCATTTTTGCCCAATCTGGCCCCTGAAAGCACTCTACAGCCATGACCAAACACAAGTGCACAGCTGTAGAGCACTTTAAAAGGGGCCCTGTCCCACAACAATGTGAACACTTATGGCACAAGGTTCAAACAAAGATGCTCCAAAATGGAGCACCTTCAGTAAATTGTGTCTGCACATGCCAGGAGTAGGGCTGGGCTGACACAGCTCAGACTTGCTCTCAGTGCTGTCTTTAGAATGGAAGATGGGGAGGGGAACGGAGGGAGTATAGTCTGGGCTTTTTCAGCCAGTGCTTGCGGGTGGGGTGGTGGATTGGAGCCACTGCTCTTCTGTCTGCATCTAAAATTAATTTAACTTTGGTTTAAATGAGCATCACACAGAAACTCTATACCCAAAGTGGGGACAGAATTCTGTCCTCCAGGGCTGCCTGTGCTACGGAACCATCCTTTCCCTTCCTGTAGTCCCACAGTTCAGTCACAACTCACTTTCTAACTTCTGTGTTAAGTGAAGCAAGAGACCTACAAATAATATTTTTCTTCATTATGCAACCAGATAATGGAATAAATATTGGAATGAATATTCCAAGACATGAACCTTAAAATGTTATTTTATATAGTAATTTTGTCTGTAACTTCCTCAGTTTACAGAAGAACAAAATTAAAAACCAAACTAGGTGACATCAGTTGAAACCTTGAGCTCTACTGCACTACATGTCACTCAACCTACAGAAAAGTGAAAGCAGTAGTAGGTTCTTATCTTTCTGTGACCTGTCACTGGAAGTGGACATGACATTGCGCTTTGTCAGAGACAGTGGTGATGGGAGAAAAATAGTGAGATTCTACTATTTCTATTTGGGATTCTGAAGCACAGTATGTTTGTGGCTATAGCTCCTTCTGTCTGGTTTTTCCACCTGAATTATTTTTACCCCATCCTCTCCAACATGTCTCTGTTTGTATTGCTATTCTGTATCCTGGTCTCTTTATTCCAGTCCTACTTTCTCATGCAGGCTCCACTTTTCATTCTAGGCCTAGCCTCACACCTCAAGACTCCCCAACACAATCCCACTTTTCCATTATTCCCAGCCTCAACCCCCTCTCCTACCTTCTCCTCAACCCCCTCTCCAAGCTTCTCTTCCTGCCTCTCTTCCAGTTCCTTCTCAAATCTGTTTGCTCAGTCACTCCACTTCCCTCTCACAGCTATTCATCCAGTCTCAGGCTTCTCCCCCCATCTACTGGCTCTTTGGGCATTTATACATCTGCTCTAGGAGTGTGTGTGTGGGGGGAAGCAGATGCCTTAATTAGAGCAGCTCTGATAGCTACTCTAATTAAAGTGCCCGAAGCATCATGTGTATCAGCATCCCCGCTCTAAAAAATGTTGGCGGGGGCACTTTAACTAAAGCTCATTGGACAAGCTTTAGTTAAAGCACCCCCACTGACATTTTTCAGTGCAGGGATCCTGATACACGTGACACATGGTAATTGTCACACTCCAGCAGACTCAATCGAGCCTGCTCTGATGCATTGTAATTACAGCATGTCAGAGCAGCCTTCCTGCACATGTATAGGTGCCCACAGTTCCCTATTTCCATAACTCTGAATACTAATCTCCTTAACCAGCCAGTCCCAGCCTCCCTCAACCCCAATTCCAGTTTCTCTTCCCACCACTGCAGTCTTTAGTATTGTCCTATACTTGATCTCTTGTCATAATCTACCCTCTCCCCCCACCACACACACACACACACACACACACACACACACACACACACACACTGTCTGGTTCCTGATTTTTTTTCTGTAAAATTAGGCAGTTTCAGTCTTCATCCTAGATTTCACTGGGGCACAGGAAAGAAAATATTCTTGTTCCTAGTCTTGGTTCTCAATCCCAAAGCAACCAACCTCAAACTATAGTTGCAGGGAAGATCCCACTTAGTCTCTGCCTGGTGCATGTTCAGTGAGGGTGGAGTCTGAAGAATTTAGCTCTGTGTGTGTGTGTGTGTGTGTGCGCATGTGCTTGTGAGTGTGCATTTAGACTTTGTTTAAACATACTTCGGAATAAGCTAGTCTCAAATGTGATTTGGCACTTACTACAGAAAGGATTAAATAGTAGAACACAGGTTATAAATACTGTTTTGACAAGGTTTTTCCAATGTGTTAGACACTGGTTTAGCTGAGACAGTGGATGAATTGAATGCAAATCTTGGAATCAGTACTCAACTCAGTGTTCTTAACCCTGCAGTAAAAAATTGCTGTACATTTAAAAAAAAAAAATCTTGCCCTAACCTCAGTGCTTTAGTATCAGTCAGCACTAAAGGAATGAATAGACTATTTTTGTGCCTGGAGATCAGAACAATGAATTGGTGCAGATTGCAGTCTTGATAGACGTGCAATATAATATAAAACTGAACTTCCTAAGCATAGTTGAGAATATGCTCAAAAGTGCATATATATGCCTAGCCATCTGCAATGAATCCCTGACTGCCAATTATCTGGCACAAAATATAAAGGTGGGGGACGTGAGGGAGAAGAAGTACAGAAACTAGCAATTCTATTTGCATTTTGAAAACATAGTACCTTTTTATACAAGTCATATTTGAGCATTAAAACTGAACAACTGGACAACTGTATGCATGTGTCCAGTAACAGCATAAACAGCTGAGTCTTTACATTTAAAGGAAAAGGTTGTGAAACTGGGATTTTTTATATTTTATAAAATGCCAATGTGATTTCAAATATTTTTCAGCAAAATAGATGGGTGTTACCCAATGATGGAGGAAGTTCTAGATTGTGAAAATAAAGCAGAGAGGATACTGAAAAATTGAAGATGAGTTTATTCTCAATCTGCATGTCAATCCTTATCATAAGGACCACAGTGAATAGATTTAAGGAAAATGTTTGGAGAAAAAGTGTGTTGTTATTCTGCATGTCGGAGAAAAGGTAAAAAAGGGATGAGTTTAAGGATGGAAGAAAAAAGAGAATAATTGTAAACTGCTGAAGAGAAATAGAGGCACTGTAAAATGGGTAATCAACTAAAATAATCTACTACCAAAAACAACTTTGTACAAAGAATAATTAGTAGAGTCAGATACAGAAACATCAGCCATAACTGTGTATCTCTGTTTTTTAATATATAAGGGGTCTGGGACTACTACTGAACATCTCCCATATTTTTTTTTTGATCAGGTTTTTATGGAAACACTGCAACACCAGTGTGACAGGCCAATTAAAAAATCAGTCTTAGCAGGAATAAGACAACTGTTGGAAAAGCTGACTGCAGTGCTATTGATGATATATATGTGTGTGTGTGTGTATATATATATGACATTACACATTTATGTACAAAAGGGTGGAAATTCATCAGCCATGATCACATCATCTATCAGTTGACTGCACAGAATGCTGCCTAAAGCAGTAGGCACGCTGCTATTAATTGCATTGAGTATTGTTTCTCAACTCAGTGCACTGCTGTGGTTCACCTGCTGTAAAATACTAACAAATGTTTTGTTTTAAGAAGGATCACAGCTGGCACCAAAACCCCAAAGTGGCAGCTGCTAATCTGTTTGGTTACAGATAGGTGGATGTGGTGACCTAATACATGATTCTGCTTATTTTATGCTGTAATTTTATCATTTTGGTTTAGGCTTAAAAAGCCTTTAGCTTTGGGTGCAGTCACAGTCCTTTCCCCCATGGGAGGGCCACACTTCCTTGATGATCATTTCTTTCAGTACATCCTAGGTGAAAAGAGAAGAGTAAAAGAGAAGAAGAGATCACCAAAGTTCATTTCCTGGGGCACTTTGTGGGAACATTACAAAAGACATTGATTTTAAGCTTTGCTATTGCTTCTGGCTTTCTGTGTAATTTCATTTCTGCATTGCAATACGTAGGATGCGGCCTATGATTTATAATGGACTACATTTCCCTCTGAGATGTGGGGTAGGCAAAATAGCAGATCTGGCTGGCAGGCAGACTCCATTTCCCAGCAGCCCCTGCCTGCGTGGCTAGGGTCAGTTTCCATGGGGACCCCAGCAGCAGCCATGCTGTGATAGCACAAGGCAAGGGTTTCTGTGGAGACTGGCTCCAGGAGTGCTGGCAGGGTGTGTGGCAGGGTGCACAGCTGTTTTGGAGCCTGGCTGGGATCTTGCAGAAGTGACTGCATGGTCCAGAGATGGAGCGGAGGCATGATCTGTAGCCTGCATGCCCTTGCTTGGGGTTCTGCCCCAGTTCTGGACCATATGATCACCACTGCAAAATCCCAGCCAGGCTCTGGAGCAGCTTTGCACCCTGCCACATGCCCTGCCAGCAGGGGCAGCACTGGGGGGAGGGAGGGTTTGGGGGAGCTATAGCCACCCCAAAATTCCCCATAAGTACCTCTTCCAGCAGTGCTGCCTGCCCTGCACAGGCAGTGGCAGCTGAATCCATCCCACTCCTGCCTGCAGCACAGCCCCCCATTTACCTCCCCACCAGGAAGAGGCTGGCATCACCACTGCCTGCAGCACTGCTGGGGCTAGTCTCCACGGACACCTCAACTCCAGGCTATCACAGCATGGCTGCTGCTGGGGTCACCATGGAAACCAACCTCAGCCATGCAGGCAGGGGCTACTGGGAAATGGCATTCACTGCCAGCCAGATCTGGCCAATGGACCAGACTTTGCTCGCCCCTGCTCTGAGAGATGCCTCCTCTTTAGCCATGAAGCAAGATTTTTTTCATCATGTCTACATTTGTTCATGTTGTAAAGGAAGATAATAAAGAGAGGGGGTTTTGTCTGTGTATAACCCACCTTTTCCATAAACTCTTGTGCTATATTTTCAATGTTTGCTTTTTAGAAGAATGTTTAGGACTGTGCCCATTACATTTGGAATGAGGTATTTACACTGTATCTATTACATAAAACATGAGCCTGCTTCACCCCTACTTTATTTATTGACACTGCTACATTGGTAATTAATGTCAAATGAAGAACACTGCATTATCCTAGTGTCACTGAAGCCACATGATGTCAGGGGAGACTCACAAGGATTTAGGGCTTTTGGAACATCTCACAGGTCTTCCTCCTTAAGCTTTGTATTCATCAGTCATTATTTTAAGGTTAATTCATTCCCATGTTGATCTCTATATCTTTTCTTACCTGGATTCTTACATTATGCATCTCTAGTAGATTGCAGTCCATTCAGGACCATGGTTATAGTTTTCTATTTCTCAATAATCCAGTTCTACGGAAGTACTTATGAAAAATTTTAACAACTATGGAAGTTACCCTGACAGATCACACTCTAACTTTTTTCTTAAAAGCAAACTGACAAAGTGCAGTCCTTGGTCTCTGCTGATCAAGGGGTTCCCTTCTGTTTCTCCTTGGTATAGATGTTAAAAGGAAGAAATAAAAAGAAGTATAAGAAAAGCAGGACCCCGTATCCCATGGATTGAAACCCAGCCCATGAGTTTTTCTAGACTATGCTGACTCATTTTACTTTCTTGTTATGAATCCTGTCTCTTTGCAGAAAAGATCAGTTAAGTTCTTTTCTGCCCTACTGAGTCATTCTACCGGCTTACAGAGCCTTATGCCAGACAAATAAATGGGATTGCTAGGGTACATTGTAACTGGAAGATAAACTGAATAAAGGCTGAGCAGACATATAAGGAACATATATATAAAAAGCAAGCCTGCTGTTCCCTTATATTGATCAGTACTTGTACCTTTGCAGAAGCATGAGGTGAAGCTCCCTGGTCCAAAAGCAGAAGTGCCACTTTCTGATTATCATAGTGTGCAGCTACATGCAGTGGAGTTAAACCACTCTAAAACACACACAGAACAAACATGCCTTGTTATAAACAAGCTCCAGTGAAATTCAAGAGCGTGGAAAGTTGGGTTAAAGCAGATAAGTTGAGAACATAGTAATACTATTCATTCATATATTCAAATTCTCCATTAACTTCTGAAACAAGAAGCACCAGAACAAATGAAAACTCGTCTATGAACACCCACCTCATGCACTTATTGAGGATAAGATTGTAACTTTGTCTGGAGTAAGCAGAAGAAAATCTACATATTTGCACTGTCCCAGAGCAAGACACATTGGAAACTGTAAACCTCCTGTACTACTCCTCTTTTACTGTACGGCATAAGTAATCCACTACTCATCCACTTCCACTTCCTTTTTGGGCTAGATTAAGTTCTGTTGGCCTGTGAAGCCTTGGCTCCTTTCTTTCTCTGCCCACCAGCCCAGGAGCTGACAAGGAGAGGGGTGATGGTGATGGAAGGTGGGAGCGGGGGGAAGAGTCCTGGCACCTTGTGTTCCTTGTGCTCTGGAAGGAATGTGAGTGGTCTGAGCTAGGATTCAGGGTTTTCTTTTTTTTCAACTTATTTCCCTGTGTGCTCTCAGAAAGGAAGTGAAACTTTGCCCTTAATGATGACAAAATCCTTTGCCATAGGATTGATGACACTTTTTTATAGAAGTGTATCAAGTCAAATCCAAACCTAGTTTAGTTTAAAATATTAGCAGGTGCTTGTGTGACAGACAGTTTTCTATCGTGTGTAAGTGGACATTTACTATGCCAGTAGGCACTGGTTTTGTCTATCCTACCTTTCCAGCAGCATCTGGAGATGCGTTTTTCTGAAGCAGAAGGTTGGCTACTTCAATTTTGCCATATTTTGAAGCCACATGAAGAGGAGTAAATCCTTTCTGTAAGAAAAAATTATTTACATTGAGGTGATGAACATTTCTTTCCCAGGACATCTGAAAGCTTCAGTCACACAAGGGGCTCTAGCTTATGCCCAGGGATCCAGGTTTTCCATTTCCCATGGAAAAATGGAGAAAACCACGGATTCCCTGTTTTTATTGGAGAAAACGCAGACTTCCCCTTTTAGCAGAGGAATAAACTCACCGGGGGGACCAGCGGAAAATACATGAGGCTATGTTCCCCTAGTGGTGAGGGGTGGTGGCTGTGGTGGCTGTGTGCTGGCCTGGGGGGCCGAGGGGGCTCTCACGCAGCAGCCACCACTGCTGCTGCTTGCCTGTAGAGCCATGCCTGCATAGCAATGCAGCTGGCCATGGAGCGTCAGCAGTGGTGTGGTGGTGGCTGTGGCCACTGCTTGCAAGCCCCCCCCCATCTGCAGGCACGGCTCCTTAGACAAGCAGCAGCAATGGTGCAGGATGGTGGTGGTGGTGGCTGCATGCCAGCCAGTGGGGGTGGGGAGGTTTCGCATACGGCAGCTGCCACCACCTCACACCACCACTGCCACTTGTCTTCATAGCCACGCCTGCGGACAGGGGGCTTTCACATGACAGCCACATTTGTGCAAGCACAGGTCCACAGGCGAGCAGCAGCAGTGGCAGCCACCACATGTGAACCCCTCCCTGCCCCCCAGCCGGCATGCAACTACCATAGCCACCATTCCACACCACTGTGTAGCCATGTGGCCAGCCACGGGGCACAAGTGGCAGTGCAGTGGCAGTAGCTGCATGCAACCGCCCCCTCCCTCCCTCTCCCCGGCCAGCCAGCCAGGTGGCACGTGTGTGGCCCACACGTGGTGGCCACCACCGCACTGCCACTGCTGTGCTCTGCACCACTTGCTCGCAAAGCTGTGCAGCCAGCTGCAGGAAGGCAGCATGGGGCGCCATGGCGGAGTTGCAGTGGTAACGATTGTGTGCAAGGCCCCCTGCTGTGTGTACAGCCTGCAGAGGGGCGCCCATCCCCTGCCCTTGCTCCTGGAAGCAAGCACAGAGGCACACTCTCCCTCCACTTCTTGATCTGCGCCCCCCCCAGCACCTTCCCTTTCCCCCGCTGTGCCCTACCCCTTCCCCCCACACACATTTACCTGCTGGGATGGATGTCAGTGTCTGTGCATGCATCTGTGTCTGCATGTCTGTGCCTGTGTGTCTGTGCCTGGGTATGTGGGGCTGGGGGGCTGTTGTGGGGAGTGAGGGGCATCATGAGGGCTGAGGAGGCTGTGGGAGAGAGTGAGGGGCACCAGCAGTACCGGGGTGGGGGAGGGCTGTGGGGAGCCTTTAATTTTAATCAAAGAATTTACAATTTTTAATCAGAGAATTTGTGATTTTTAATCACAGAAAACCAGCATATCTGCTTATGACAGTATCTCTTGTTTTCTTTCCTTCTCTATTTGTGAACCACAACAGAGGCAGGTAGCCCCTGATTCCAGCTGCCATGGGCTTGGAAGTTCTTTGCAAGGAACAGTCTAGACCAGAGGTGGCCAACCTGAGGCTCCAGAGCCACATGCAGCTCTTCAGAAATTAATACTCTTTCAATCTTTGCACAAGCACATGTTGACCAGCTTCCATAGCCGTTACATTATGTCAAGTCATGTGATGCAAAAGCTCGCAATGTGAAACAATCAGTAAGTTTTTATCAGTAGGCCATATTATAAATCCAGCTCAGAAGTGAAAACACAAAGCTATATATTCACCTAGGTATCAGACTGTAGTTAATTCCTACTTTTTTAGAAGCATGCACGACCCCTGGATCATTTAATTTATTTGGAATACTTTGTAAGCATTTCAGATTTCATTTCTACAACTCCTGTATCTTGCCAGAAGGTAGGGAAGGGTGGCTTGTTAGAGACTAACTGGCTCAGAGAGGTATGAGCTTTCATAGGCAACAACCAACTTCATTACAAGTTAAAAGACTTCAGACTAACATGGCTTAACACCTCTCCCTTACCTTGGTAATTATAGCTAAAGATGCACCATGATCCAAAAGAACTAAGGCTACATCTTCATGCCCTTCTCGAGCAGACAAATGGAGGGGAGTATAACCAGAAGTTGTAGTTGCATTTGGAGATGCTCCTTGTTGTAATAATTGCTGCACTATATCAGCTTTTCCCAGTCTGGCAGAAATGTGTAGTGGTGTTTGGTCATCCTAAATATGAAGAAGACAGTCTTAATAAGAAAAATAAAGTTCAGATTTTGAGGGAAAATATCTGCTGAGGTGCTATTATTGTAACTGTAAAGCAACATGAATTCTACCACGGCTGAAATTATAAAATACTCCATACTAATTTTTAATTTGTCACATGACTAAAGAAGTGGTGACCAAGATCCACAGTCTGGACCTGGCCCATGGGGCTCTATCATCTAGCCTAAAGGGGCTCCCCCTGGATCAGGAAATTCAGCAACATGGTGAACAGTGGCAGCATTAACTGGTGTGGCAGAGCTGTGGCATCCAGCCTAAGGGAACAGAAATCAGCTGAGAGGAACAGCAGCTGCTGCAGCTTCAAGAACCATTGCAAAGAACACCCCTGCTAAATTCCAGACCTGCAGGCCAGATGACATAGCTCTGCACTCCAGATCTGGTCCATAACCCAGCCTCATGTCACTCATCCGGTTCCCAGGGCCAGATGAGTTGGGCATCCTGGATTAAAGCATGGAGTTCCCAAAGGTCCTTTGCTGATGCTGCATATACTGTTTCAAATCTGGAGCGTGATCAAAAAGAATAAGGTCTCTTTGGATATGTTGGCATGGTGCAGTGCAGCACATATTGCATTAAGGGTCTCATCAAACCTACAGTGCATTTTTATCTGGACCTAAGATCTTAACATGGTCTATGGCCCCCACAATCCCTAATCATACCAACAGGAGTTGGACTGAAGCAAGCACCTTGACGTTTGATTTCCTAGTCTTGTGCATTAAATTACCATTTTTATGTTTATTTAGCAATAAGCAATGCTTTGAATATTCCCCAGAAACTGGAAAGAAGTTTTATATCTATAAAATTTTTAAGGGCTCTCACAAAAGAGTTATGAGACCTGGAAATCCACATTTTTATTAAGATTGTAATGGCTCATTCAGCACAGAAATCCCACTGGATAAAGTTCTAGGAAGCTGCTGTGTTAAGAGTCTTAAAGTTTGTTTTCAGATAAGAAAATATTTAGGAAATTTGTAACCTCATGCCAAGAGCCTCATAGCTATTTTCTCCCTTTTTCTGTATTAGTTTCTGTAAATTCTGTATTGGCATTTGTTTTAAACATTCAAGTTACACAAACTTTATTCAAAGCACTCTGGCAGCAAGGCCAGTATCAGTAAGAGTAATTTGTACCCATCATAAAGCGCCAACCTTTAAAAAGGCAG